TACTTTTCATTTTTGCTCATATTTTTATTCAAAATAGAAATTTACTGAAACGAATTTTTCTCATTTTCTATTTGGTCAAACGCCTGTTGCTTAACTAAATTTTTGCTCAAAATTGTTTTGTTCATTTTCTTTTGCTAAAAGTCGCTTTCTTCATATTATTCTTGCACATATTCGAGGTTACCTTACCTTTAAGGTTACCTTTTCGAGGTTATCCTACACAAATACGCCAGTATCCATTGTGACAGTGGATGTGCAGAATACTTGTGCGTTTATCGACAAGCACACAGCTTTTTCTTCTCTTTCCAGGAACTCGAATCTCTACGAAAATATCTTCAATATCGTCATATTTGTGGACTCCAGTCGCCAGCATGTCATCAGTACGTTCTTCACACACTACAACTCTATTATCATCCGGGAAAGTATTTGTAACAGGTGGTGCAGATGGGAATCGAGTTTCATTGTCGAGTTGCGAAGTGTGCGATTTGTAGAACTCCTAACTAACTGAATCAGACTGTTTTACTGTTTCGAAACTGATATTTCTGCACATTGATTATTTTTGTCAGGTGATGGTGTACTGCTTGTTGTACTTCTCAGAAGAAACTAGGAATTTAAGTGATTGAACACTGGATTATGCAGAATTTTTTGGTGAATGCTGTGTTTCAACTGCTAAGATGTCAGAGTCGTGGGCACGAGTTGAGTGGAATGATAAATAGCTGACTGCGGTTCTAACAAAAGCTGATGTCGAAAAACAAGTTCAAACTGTAGAAAGTGCGTTTCACGAACAAAATATGTTCTGACCTGAAATGGTATGTTGATGCAAGGGGCAGAAGGAAAGCATTAAGAAGCATGAATGCGTCAAGTGCTCGCAATGTTCTTGAGAAACGAACAACTTGATACAGGAGCCTGTTCACTCCTGTTGTTTCCAGAATTGTGTCCGTCGTACACTGTAAAGCGTTTCCTGGCGCTCTCGCACTGATGATGTAAAGTTCACACGAAAGTCTCGCTGCAACAGAAAGTTTGTTGAATTGTGTTGTGAGATACGTGTGTTAGTTGGACGTCAGTTTTAGCGTTAGTATAGGGTCAGGCAGTTTCAAGCACACTTTACTGGAAACATTGCGAATAGCATATATCGATAGTTTCGCGTTCGAGGAAAATTTGGGAAAATCGCAGCAATCAAGTTTGTATAGAATGAAGAAAGACTTACGCTTATTTACCCTCATCTACTCTGATATCACATTTTGAACGCAATACGCGGCGGAAAGAATACTACCTCATGTACTCCTGCCACGCATTTGTAGCGATCAGACGAAACATGAGAGAATGCTTTTGTTATTTTTGTGTACAAACACATATCCAGGAATATATTTGCTCCCGTCTAATATGCCATGGGCCAGTAACTGTTGATTTTATTTCTCTATCTTGTTCAAAACGTACTTTGACGACCCATACTTCGAGTAATGTCCGAACAATTTCTTAAATAGAAGTTGCACTACTAACTTGACTAGCCAAATTAAGTGCTTTTTCTAGATTGAGTGAGTAGATCGGAGCAAATATATTCCTGAATTCACTTTACCATAACAGACTGGTTGTTGTTGTTTTGAAAATTCATCATGTGCAATTTAAAATTAGTTTTTCGATATTCGACCTCCTGATAGTAAAGCATCGGTATGAGAAGAATATCAGAATAATAGATAACACCAGTACTAGGAAAGAACAAAACCGTAAGTTCAGCGCACGATAATTGAATAGAATAAATGCACCTTTATTTGGCATGCCCTATTTTGGTATAATACTGAAATATGACGTAAGTGGAATGGGCGGTGGAAGTCGATATTTTATTGTCGAACAGAAGGAAATTTGTTGTCTTTGTGGCAGCTATGATGGATTTTCTTAGCCATAACGCTCTTTATCACCAAAACTCTTGAACACTACCAGCACCTGCTGCCGACGTGTCTTCAGTTGCAGCATTTGATCTAAAGTAAAGAGGATGTGATAGCATAAGAAGAAAGGAAGCTTCCTACATCTCCTGCTTTGTAGATGGCGCGAAAAGGGGAATCTCTGGTCTATGGGAGTAAATTGGCTGAAACATCAGCTATGTTCACTTTTAGGTCTCTTTAGGCTTGTATTTGACCTCTAAAGGATTGAGCCAATGATACGTAGGGTTTGTTTAGTCAGAATATTGTAGAGTTTTTCAAGAGCTGTTTTTCTATATCAAGGTTTACCGTAACATAATATTAGATTTTGAGCAAAATCGTTTTCTTAAACACCGATATGGTTTATGTACCTCCTCAGAAAAGTTATTTTAAGAAGTCTCGATAATGTTATAATGGTTGATATACAGTTCAAAATGTGTAAAATCGTTTTCTCTACAATATGTGATCATAACGAAGCCGAAAAAGCAGTGGGCCAAACGCAGTGGAAAAGCGGGCCCCCTCCTTTATGCTTATGAAATGTTAAAATAAGATTTTTTTTATTAGTTGCTTCGCGTAAGTACGCTTCTTAACAGTTGGACATAGTATTTGAATGTTCCATGTTCTGATAAATCTTTACCTCAAAAAACGAGATTTGAATTGATGAATCAATGGCGTGAACACGGTTATCGATTGGCACCTCATGCACCAAAGCCAACACATCGATTCGGAATCGTGTAGCAAAAGAGACTTACAGTTTCAGAAAAATAATACTATTTTCTTTATTTATCCTGTGTGCAGTCTTCCTTCGATCTGGGAAAATGTATGAATATCTTTCGAGAGCTTTTTGGAAAAGATAATTATCACTGTTAGTAATAAAATGAATTTTTTGCCGAGAAAAACGTATTGTTTGTTAGAGAATGAGGTAACTTTCTCACATACGGTACAGTACACAGAACTGAACAACTCGCAAAAAAAATAAGGTATAATAAGAAGTGTGTGCGTAATATAACAAGTAGAAAAAATGATTTCTTTTGCTTAGTAGCGAAAGTTGAGGAGAAGTTGATGAATCATCAAGAAGAAAGAGCATGATGGTTTGAATAGTCTCAACTACATTGAAACAAAGCGTGTCCACAGGAACAAGTAGTCTCATTGCGTTTGCATTCCCGGAACACCAAATCTCCGTAGATTGGTAAACACGCTGTAGATACCAAAATTTAAAATTTAATTAATTTTTATCGCTTTTTATCTTGTATGTTAGGCTAATTTACATGTGGTTAGAGAAAATCAAAGAGAAGATTACATAACATAAAATTATTACAAGCAGCTTGTCAGATACAAAATAACACAGAAGTTGATTTTATAAGAAGTTGATTTAAGAAGTTCATTCATAGCCGATAAAATGAAGCAGAACACAGACAAAGTGAGTAATGTGTAACAGTTTTGATTAATTCCAAAAAGTATGGCTGAAACGTTTAATGTTTTTTATGGAAGAACCTTCTTGCTTTGAGATAATGGAATGGGCTTACTAAACGACGATTTAGTGTAGTGAGGAATGAAATTTTAGTGAGATTATTTGTCCCTGTATATACACTTTGTTTTAATATAGTTGAGACTATTCAAACCATGGGGATCTTTCTTCTTGGTGATTCACCGACTTTCACCTCACCTTTCGCTACTAAGTAAAAAAATACGAGAGAAATTGTTACATTCTTTCACTACCGTACGCAGCATCTTAAGACGAAAACAAAGTTGGAATATACCAACAAAAAATTTGATTATAAAATGCGTTTTAATGGTTTGTCATCCTTCATTGGATCTTATTTTGGTAAACGCTGTAGGTACATAAGGACTCAGTCATTGTGTACTTCCATAAACTCAGTCTCTATCATGGACACATGTGCAAGTTTATCCGTGAGTTTTTTTGATCTTAAGTAAAAAGAGACTCAAAGTTGTAGGATAATAGATGTGAATGAGGAAGCGATACGCCTTACTAACGATCTAGCCGATACACTAGCACAAGCGTAGTGATGTTAGAGGAGTTAAGATATAGAAGTCTCACATTTCAGCTGTGATGTTAATCTCTGCACGTATTTTGAAGATCTAGAAAAGGAAGCACGATGTAGGTTGATTTGTTCGCTGTCTCAACAGCGCTCAAATATCGTAATGGAAAGGGCGTGATTTTATCGACTCGTTACATTCAACTGCCCGGCCTAGACGTGTGCGCCGCGCCGATGGATAACTAAGGTTTCCGACGCCGCCGCCGCCGCCGCCGCCGATGGATAAGTTAGATGTTTGCGCCGCCGCCGAAGGCGTCCAAGTTTTGTCCAAGTTGTTTATTTTAGCCACCGCTTTAAATGATCTTTTAGCCGCCGCCGACGGCGGAAATTCTGTTAATAAGGTTCCGCCGCCGCCGCTGATCGAAAAAGTTGTGTTACACGCCACCGCCGATTTTCCGACCGGCGCACAGGTCTAGCCCGGCCAATTTATTACATAGATAGAATGAGGTAAAAGTTAGAAGTGTTCGAAAAAATTGCATCTCTCTGTGTAAGTTGGCCATAGAGAAAACTATAGAAGTTCTTGCAGCAAGGAGAAGGGTTTTATGTTATTATTATAGCAAGAAACCATCATTTGTCATAAGCTAATCCGAGATAGAAAAATCGGTTATAATAGTACCGTAATTATAGAAAATTTGCTAAAACTGTGAAGGCATGGCCAAGTTCACTAAGGAACAAAAATAACAGAGGAAAAAAAAGAATTTTATCATTGATTTGGTAGCTTTGCAGTAACGGTTTTATTGAATTCGGAATTTTATCAGCTCGACTAATGTTCAGGCGAATGCTGCGTTTCTTTTTTGGGATGCGGACATTACGACCACGTTTCTCGGACAGACTTGTTTGCCAGGTTTGTAAAAACATCCGCGAAATTAATTCGCATTCCTTATTAAAATCAGAATTTGCTTTCAATCAAAAACTGTATCATTTAGACGTTTTACACCTTCACGTAATAAGGACTCGATAAAACCATTCGATGTTCTTGTCGTCGCTTTATGGCAACCGTCGCATTTATGGTAGCTCGGTGGAGGGTGGAATGGATGCAAGATATATCGATATGGATAATTTGGGAGAAATGGATATTATGTATGAAAAAGGCATTATCGATAGTGAATCTGAATTAATACCGATCAGTGCTACACCGGGTTTCATGCGAATATACTGGAATGGTACTCGACTATCTTACAAAAACGCTTCATTTGACGATTATGGACGTTATTGTATAAACGGTCTCGCATTAAAAGAAGAGCTGTTAGCAGAATTACAAAAACTGGATGCTTCCCGTCATTTTCCTCCAAACAAACATAAAACATCCGTAAAATCAGCTAGTGTTGAATCAGTTGAACCTTCTGTGATGGGACAAAAAGTGGATGAAACAGTAAAAAAAATTATTGAAGAAAAAATAAAAACTGGCATTTATCAACAACAAATTAATGAAAAAAAATTTATGTCCGATGTTTACCGAAAATGTTTAACTTCGGTTCCAGAATGTCTTGACTATTGTATTGGTCTATTTCAGCCTGAAGCACTAGAAAATATTACTAAAAACACTTTCTTTAGCGACATATCGTTGACTTCTGTTCGGTTACCAACTATTTTAATAGGGCAACTGACACTGGCACTTTGTTCGCCATTGTGCGGTGTTCCATTACACCCAGATATTTTCATTCGACTATTGTCTTATACGAATTTTGCTAACAAACACGAACAGTCGATTAATAAGATATTTTCAAAATTTTCAAATAAATGTATGAAGTATATGGTAGAAACTGAAGTTGAATGTGACCATATTCCAGCGTTTAGATTAAATTTCGTTCCAAAAATAATATTACCCTTTTTTAATCGTATTAGAATGAAACGTTTCGATTTATATGAAAAGCTAAAAGGTGGCACTATTTTTGTAATACCAAAGTGGTCTGGTTTGACACCAGAAAAAGGAGCACATCTTGAATTTCGTTACTCATTCTCTGACTATGAGAAGACATTAGCACAATTACGTTCGAATAATGAACTGACGCTCAATAAAGTTGCACGATCTATTTATTATGAATGTTTATCGAAGAACAGCCTGCAAATTGACGGAACATATTTGCCGTCGTATTTTGTTAAAACAGCTGTACTGTGGTTATGTGAAAATGAAAATGTCACAGAAATTTACAAAAGTGACCAGGATCAAGACATTATTGCACAATCTTTGGGTGATTTGTGGCGGAATTATGCCTGTTCTTGTTTGAAAGAACATTATTGTCAACACTACTTTATTGAGGAGATCAATATTTTGCAGACTTATCATGCTGACTTACTATCATTAGCTTATGAGAAACTAAAGGGATGGCGCTGTACAGACGAAAACAATGACGATCCTGAATTCAGTCGGCCCCTAAACGACGATGACATCTCTGATATACTGAACGTGTTTGATGAGTTTATCCCAAGCGTTACTGACGAAAAACTTATTCGAGAAGATTTTCAATCAATAGAAAATGAGTATTTTATTAAAACTGATTTATCCAGTATAAATGTAACAAGATATCTGGATATTTTATCTTATATTCCCGGAGGTCTAAAGACATATGGTGATTTTGCTGGCTATTTACTATCATTTACAAGTGATGAATCACCAGTACAGTTGCCATTTGCTATCAAGGAACTAAGCTTTTCTCATTTTACAATCGCATTATTATTAAGTATGGGGATGCTCGTACCGATTGACTCGTATTATAATCAACTGACATTTGAGGAAAATGAATACATACGTAGCAGTGAGCAGTTTTTTGAAAAATTCCTAAATATAGCCAAAAATGTGCAAAACAGTGCACGAACTATGGATTTAGAGACATTATTGGCAATGGCTGTCGCACGTCACCAATCATCTATGTGTGATAGGGATTGCGTAGATTTCATACGTAAACGTGCTCGTTTTAAAAATAAAGAAATAAATAAGCTGCCGCTAGATTGCTTTCACACGATGCGTTCTGAAATTCCTGACGATGATACGGAAAACCCCTGGGTTAAATCGAACCAAAACTGTCAATATCAATATATCAATATACAAGAAGGCCTATTATCATTGATCTTCGAAATAGCATGTTATACATATAATTTCACTGATAGCGAGCGTGTAATATTTCAAAAAAATTCGCTGCATTATGAACTATGTCAAAAGGACGCCCGACAGTCCAGCTATTTCGTTTGCGTAACAGTTTAATGACAGCTAACGATTCCATATCAGCCATAATCATAGTTTTGTTAAGATATTCAAGCACCCGTTTTACATTAATAACTCTATTTTAATGTACGGCTTTGTCCAGTAAAGGTAAGTAGAAAAGTAGGCTTTTAATCAGCTACTGTAAGATTAAGGAAAACCATGTCACTTCACGCATCAAACTACTTATTGCGCTTCTCCTCGTTGACAGAGATGCAACCGATCAACAAAGTCATGACCGATACTGGCCGATCACTGGCGACCATGTGGAGACCGGCCCGGACTGGCCAATTGACACACCATTTTTCTAAAAGTTTTGATCGGTAAGCGACCGGTACTCACTTTTCTCAAGAACTCTTTCGGGACAGCAATTGCTATAAGAGCAGTGAGTCTTTTGCATTTCTTCTCATTTGGAATAAAGAATTTACCGTATGTTTTATATGTTGTTAGGCGTAGCTAGTACGCGGTAATTCATTTTATTTCTCTATTATCTTTTATTTATTATGTTTCATTTTAAATTCCATAATATGGAATTTATTAACCTCTGTATGACACATACATTAGTATTCAATTTTCCAAAATTGCTCATCATTAGGCCACATGTTATCCACAAAAGTTTTACGAAGAACAATCAGAGATTCAACATTCTCCTAGAAGACGAAGCTAAAAACGTACGTCATGTTCAAGTATCGTAGCCAGTTATATAACAGTCATTAGTCAATACACTCACGCATTACGTATAGACCGGAAAAATATGAATATTCAAACAGGGAATAATGAATGCAATTATTATCTTTCTTTAAGCAGTACAAAATGATACTAAATATGCTTTTTCCTGTCATAATTTTTACTTGTAAGCCAGGTTGACAGGGCCTGGCCTAGTAGTTTGGCCGGAACGGTTGATAAGTTTCGACTGGTTCGGGAATAGGCGCCCGTCCGGTAGCATCTCTGCCCGAGGATCAGCGCATAATAACCTATATTATAAGTCTTACAGTCGTGACCGTATTCTCCCTTTTTTTGGCTTAGAAGGACGTCTATTCCGTGTCTTTCCCTATATACAACAACTGTCAGGCAAGATTAATAACAGATCATTATTTTTTGATTGTGCGCGTAAATATCTCAATGAGGTTGATGCTCAAAACGGACACCTCGATGAGAACATTCTGAAAATAATGGAGAAACACATACCAAATTTTACAGAAAAGCGTACAATGTGTTTTGGTCTCTCCTATAACACACTATTTAGCTTCATGCTATTCATTGCAGACATTCTCTATGATAAAGACCATGACTTGAAGGTCCTTCAAATGATCGGTGAGGATCTGCTTATGGTGGATAACCAAACGCAGTTAACAATGTACGTTGAAAACGAAGTGTTATATGAAATTGCCGATTACTTAGCTGTTTGTGATAATTCCATATATGCACAGCGATCGCTCTTGCAGATGACAGACGAATTTGTTGACACTCGACCTAATCTTGTTTGTCCGTTTGAAACGGCTTAGCTGTCGCAACCTACAGTGCCACTAAACGTCATTTTTACTGTTTACTGTTGCATTACAAACCTTTACAAGATTTTCTGGTTCTGGGTTTTCTGTGTGGTTAATAACTGTATTTGTATAGTTGGCTTTTCGTGTCTTTTTTAAAATTTATTTTAGAAAGTGTAAGAAAACTTAGCTTTTGTGACATGCGCTCTCTGTTTTTTGGAAAAACTCTTTGAAAAACTAAGATTACCAGTAGATACACTATTTTAGCATTTGGTGTTCATATATGCCTTGTGTTTTCAGATTATTGTTTGGGGAATATGTCCAAAATAAGGTTATTTAATCGTATTATGGAAAAGTATTCGGTCTCGTTTTATAGTGTAATTTTTGTGTGCACGATCACAATTAGACGAATGACTGGGAATAAAGTGCAGAATCTAATTGTGTGTGATAGTAATATAGCCAACATTACCAGCTTTCTTGTGGTCACGAATAAAATGTACTGTCAAAATCCAAAAGTCACATATTACAATTTTTATACTTGGACTACCAGAATCGGGTAGTAATAATATAATATAATGAATGCAAACATAAGAAGTTGTGTCAAGGACAGTCGCAGAGAATGATCTTTGTCGATTAAATAAAAGAATTGGTTTAAATTTGTCTTACTAGAACCAACATTAATACCAAACAAAATTACATAATAAATAAAATATCCAATAGTCCAAGTATAAAAAATTGTAATATGTGAC